CGGAGGAGTCCGGATGTGTTGGACATCGTGCTCGCTAGGAACATCAACTGCCCGATAGTGGTAGAGGTGCTGTATGACACGGATACACAGCACCTCCCGCTATTAATTACCTTAGGTCTCAGGGCAGTGACTGCGCCTCCCAGAGCTTTCAAAACCAAGATCAACTGGAGGCTCTACCAAAAACATCTATTGGAGAGACCTCCAGTAACCACACAAATTAACACAGCGGACGACGTGGAGGCCGCTGCAACCAGATTATCAAGAACGATAAAAGAAGCCCTTGATGCGGCCTCAACGATCGTCCCACTTACAAACAAAAGAGAGGAACTACCGATGAAAATCAAAACAAAATTAAAAAGAAAAAGAGCGCTAAGAAAGCTCTGGGCGCGAACTCGCTGCCCAAGGATCAAAACGCAACTCAACAACCTATCTGAAGAGCTGTCGGTTGAAATCAAGGCACATAGAGGAGAGGCCTGGGAGCGATGCATACACAAAGCGGAGGAAGAAGATGCATCGCTCTATAAACTTAACCGACAGCTAACAAATATAAAATCACCTGTATGCGCACTAATTAATAGTACTGGAGAACGTTGCTACGAGGCCAAGGAACGAGCGGATATCCTAGCGAGTCACTTCGAGGAGCAATTTATGCCGAACCCAGCAAGTGCGGAGTTCATGGAGCTTCATGCCCAAAAGGAGAGCCGCGTACAGGAGTTCCTGTCGTCGCCCGCGCCACCGCTTGCAGGAGAGTGGTTTGTCTCCCCCGCCGAACTGCGGAGGACAATAGCCCACCTGCAACCGAGGAAGGCGCCGGGGCACGACCGGATCACTAACGCTGCACTCCGACAGCTGCCCAACAAAACAATTGTAGAGCTAGGAAGGCTCTACAATGGCATTCTGCGGACTTTCCACTTCCCGGAGAGCTGGAAAATAGGCAAAATTATTGTCTTGCCTAAGCCCGGGAAAGACAGGCGTAGATCAGCTAGTTACAGGCCGATTACGCTGCTACCGCACATAGCCAAACTGTTTGAACGTATAATACTAAGAAGAGTCCGCCCGTGTATACAACTTCGGGCGGAACAACACGGATTTCGGAGAGGGCACTCTACAGCTACACAGCTGACCAGAGTGCTACACCTACTTTCGGCCGAACAAAACTTTGGAAGGACATCTGTGGGCGTCTTCTTAGATATCGAGAAGGCGTTCGATAGGGTGTGGCACTCTGGACTACTCTATAAGATGTTACTTCAAACGAGTGTCCCTCCGGCTATGCTGCGGTTAGTGGCGTCGTTCCTAGCCGACCGAAGCTTCTACGTCTGTCTGGAGGATGCCGAGTCCGCAGTGAAGCCTATAAGAGCCGGCGTACCACAGGGCAGCTGTTTATCGCCGATCCTGTACGCGGCTTACACTAACGACATACCGACTCTCGCTGGACACCTGCAAGAATGGGAGGACGACGTAGAGTTGGCGCTATACGCGGACGATAGTGCCTACTTTACTTCGTCCAGAAGACCCCATATCGCCATTGCGAAGATGCAGCGACTGCTGGACCTGCTGCCACCGTGGCTGGATGAGTGGAGGATGGCAGTGAACGTGGGAAAAACAGCCGCTCTACTCACCCGCCGATACCGAAAACCACCACCACCGTTGGAACTGAGAGGACAAGAGATTGCGTACCAGAAAGCCGTAACTTACCTTGGGTGCCGGATTGATAGGATGCTGCGCATGACCGCGCACGTCGACAACGTAGTCCGCAGCGCTAGATGTGCGCGGGCTGCGCTGCGTCCAGTCCTGGCATCCAAGCTGCCACTGAAAACGAAGTTAAAAATATATAAGCTATACATCAGAACAAAGCTAACATACGCCGCTCCAGCCTGGTACGCACTCTTGAGCTACAGACAAAGGCAGCGGCTGCAGGCCCAGCAGAATCTATCATTACGGACTATTGTGGATGCAGGCCGCTACGTCCGGAACGATGTAATAGCGGCCAACCTGAAAATGGAATCTATAGAAGACTTCGTAGTTCGATTGTCGCGCGGAATGTTCGACCGCGCTGACAACGGACCGCATTTACACCTTAATAACTTCGCGCCGCTACACACTCGCCCTCCGGACGGGCGGCCTTTACCAAGAGAACTCCTCTCTACAGCGATTAGAGAGTCGAGTGAAATCCGCAATGCCGCAGATAGGCCAACTTCGACACCCAGGCCAATTGTGTCGATTACACAGTCGACATAACTGGCCAGGCGAAATTAAGATGACATAAACCAAATTAGGCGCCTTTTTCAGGCAGAGGCCGAATTAGGCGCCTTTAATAGAATACCAAATCAGACACATATAAAAACCAGAAGACCAACCATCCCGATTTATCGGCAACAAGGACCGACCCATAGAAATGGGTTGTGAGGATCACCCGGGAAATGGGGGAAATGCCCCGAGACCCGAAACCTGTTGGGTGTAGTACACACCCCAGCAGATGACAAGTAGGAGTATTTCGTTCGGGACCAGCTACCAGTAATACATATTATAATCAAGAAAGAAAACATATAGGGAAGTGATAGGGAAAGTAATTGCGCTCTTACGGAGCAGTTTTGAAAACAATTGCTGTTTCATTTCCGAGGGATCTTCCAATAGCGCATATATATTCATTTACAGTCCACTCCAACAAGACACGCATAACCAAGACGACCGGACCGGGACCGCTACAAGAGGACCCGTAATCTTCGTTTGTCTGACCTTTTCTTATGAGAAAGGGACTTCAGGCGCTCTCTTGTGATACTCCTCCACGGGGTTCACGACCACCTTGTTGACCACCCGAACCCAACCTGGTGTTTCTGGAAAAACGTCTGTGACAGACTAATCCCAGTTGGATTGGATCCTTTCAGATAAGGGATCTGATTAGGGAGCTGATGCTGTAGGTCCCGTTCAATTGGACCTTCGGAGCCGGATCAAGATCAGAAGACCGAAGGAAGCCAGGTTTGAGTAGTAGGCCTACCAGGGCTGAGGCAACGAGACCAAAGGCAAGTAAGACCAAAGGCAAGTAAGACCAAAGGCAAGTAAGACCAGGCCAGCGTAGTAGGCCCATCAGGGCTGAGGCAGGACCGGACCTGGAAAACTGGTAGCCACCGAAAGAAAGAAAACCGGGATTGCAGCCAGGTACGAGTGCTTGCATGGGGCACGCACTGCAGCCAGGCGCAAGTGCTTATTGAAGGCACTCGCTACGGCCGAGCAGGGCTTGGCATTTTTTCCTTTTAGGCAAACGTGCTCGGCATTTCCTGTCGGACGACCGTATTCGGAATTTCCTGTCGGACGACCGTATTCGGCATTTCCTGTCGGGCCACCAGGCTCGGCATTCGTCTACGGGATTGTGCTTATCATTTCCTGCAACACTCAAAGGTTTTTGGTGTTTTCTGTTACCAGGCGGGAGTGCTCACTGCTGCCAGGCAAGGGTGCAAGAAAGAAGAGGAAGCACTCACTGCTGCCAGGCAAGGGTGCGTTGAATTATGATATTAATAATGGAATGAAAGATCAACACGTTTGTTCAACTCGAGTGTTTATTTAATACTGCTTACTTTCTAATACATTGAATATCACCTACAAGTACATAGGTTACTTCACCTTTGGGGGCAAAGAAAAAAAAAGAGAAAAAAAAGAATATTCTTAACTACTAAATTTCTTAGTCCTATTCTTATGAACAATGTCACTTTTACCATTTATATCAATTTTCACATTTACTCCTAAATCTTATACAACTTTATAAGGTCGTATACAAATTTACGAGCACATTCATTTTTAAGTAAAACAAGATCATTCTTATTATAAAATACAGGATTACATGATTCATCATATTTATCTTTCCTTTTTTCCTTACAAGTTATCAAATTATTTGTAGCATCTCTTAAGGCTACTTGCAATTTATATTTTAAATCTAAACAATAATTATCAGGATTATGAAGTGGTTCAACATCATAATTCAAATTATTTGGCAAACGACATTGTCTACCAAAAACAAGTTCAAAAGGAGTGTACTTAGTTTGAGTGTTCACACAATTATTATAACTAAAACACCAAAATGGAACCCAATGGGACCATGAAAAATTCGAATTAGTACAATAAGTTCTTAGCAACGCACCTAAATGTTTATGAGCTATCTCAAGAGAACCGAATGATTGGTGGTGGTATGCAGTTGACGATAACTTATCGATTTCTAATAACTTACATACCTGTTCCATAACCTGAGACATGAATTCTGTCCCCCTATCTGTAGCTATACATTTCGGAATACCGAATCTTAAAATAAAGTTACTTACAAAAGCTTCTGCAACTGTAACAGCTTCTTTATTAGGTAATGGATATGCCTCTATATATTTTGTTAACTCGCATTGGAGAGTTAAAATATAACAATTTCCATTCTCATCCCTATCTAATGGTCCAACTAAATCGAGGAAAACCTTCTCGAACGCAGTCGACGCAGTGGAGGTTAAGGTCATAGGTTGTTTGGTATATTTACCTTGTTTCATTTTCTGACATAATGCGCATTTACTTATATATTTGCGGATATCCGAATCTAGTCCTGGCCAATAGTATTTTCTCCTAATATTATTCGTCATTCTATAACTTCCAGCATGTCCAATAGTGGGTAATAAATGATAGTCATTTAAAATAAATTGCTTCTCGTTTTCATCATAAATTCTCTCTATTCCTTTCAGTACACATATTCGGGGTCCGGGCCATTCACTCAAAGATTTAACTTCACTACATATTCCTTTTATAAACTCAGTATTCTTTTCATATTTTACTATACATAATTCTTTTACTTTTATTTTTTCGCAAAACTCTTTAAGTTTAATTGCAAATTCGGCTCGCGAGAAATGCAACTTAAAACCTAAATTAACACACAATAACATTTTATTTGGTACATACATAAAACATTCTTCTTCTATCACTTTATTATTTCCTTTCTTAAATTTTTCTATTACTTCCCTGTCAGTCAACCTCAATTAAACGGAATCACATGGCTGTCTTAATAGTTCCACGACTCGTGGTTGATCAGGCCACTCATCAGGGTACTTATTAAGCGCAGTCTGTTCTACCGTACTATTCTGCTCCATCTTTTTATTTTGTTGTCTCGTTACAACTGCCAAAACCTCGTCATTCATACATTTCAGTTCACTTGATGTTATACACACTCTGGATAATGCATCTGCGATTACATTATTCTTACCCTTCACATACACAATCTTAAAATCGTACTCTTCAAGAATTAAACGATATTTAATTAACCTACTAGATGGATCCTTCATTCCAAATAAATAAATCAAAGGTTTGTGGTCAGTCATGACAGTAAAAGTTCTGCCAAATAAATAGGGTCTAAAATATTTAACTGCCCACACTATTGCTGTTAATTCTTTTTCTATTACGGGATAGTTCTTTTCAGCTTTATTTAATGGTCTACTAGCATAAGCTATAGGCTTTCCATTTTTATTACACAGCACAGCTCCTACAGCCAAGTCTGAGGCGTCTGTTTGCAGTACAAATTCACTAGATTCACCAAAGTCTGGGTATTCTAATATTAGTGGAGAAATTAAAGCGTTTTTTAAGAAATTAAATGCATTTTCGCAATCTGAATTCCAAATGAAAGGGACATCCCTTTTTAGGAAATTATTTAAAGGCATTGTTATGGTAGCAAATGAAGGTACAAATTTTCTATAGTAATTGCAAAAAGCAACAAAGCGTCTTACTTCATCGGCATTCTGAGGAACTGGAAACTTATCTAGAACTTTAGTTTTTTCTAGGTCAGGTGCTATACCATCAGCGGTTACTACATGACAAAGATATAAAATTTTCTTTTTTAGAAATTGACACTTAGCGGGATTTAGTTTTAAATTTACCTTCCTCAATCTTTCAAAAACGTCTATTAAATTTTGGTTATGAGTAGCTAAAGACCTTCCAAACGTAATAAGGTCATCTAAATAAATGAAACACTTCTCAAACGCTCGTCCTAACATTGCTATTGACATGACCCTACTGAAAGCACTACAGGAAGTTTTAAGACCCATCGGTAAACGTTTTAATTGGTAATGTCCTGTACTAGTTGAAAAAGCTGTGTACTTTCTGCTTTCAGGTGCTAATTTTACTTGGTAGTATCCTTGTTGTAAATCTAGATGAGTAAAGTAAATTGAACCAGATAGTGAGTCTAAGATGTCTGTTATGTTGGGTAACGGAAATTTATCATCTACAATGTTTTCATTTAATTTACGGAAATCGATTACTAAACGCCATTTCTGTGAGCTTTCAGACTTTTTAGGTACTAATAGTATAGGACTTGACCATTCGCTAGAAGATTTCTCGATAATGTCGTCATCGAGCATCTTTGTTATTTGTTTATTTACTTCAGTTTTTAATGCATGTGGTAATCTATATTGTTTTGTATGTCGGAGTGTCTATAAAATACCCGGTTGGATCGAGGTAGAATGGAGGGTATATCGAGAAACCCCCTCTTGTGTCTGTAGTATAAAGTTCACTGTAGGTGCCGTGCGCGGGAGAGTCCGCTTCAGTCATTCAACGGAGTGTGGTCATTCTACTTAGTGCTAAGATATTGTCGTGATTCTGTTCATTGTGGTAATTCTTCTAGTACAGGCAAGGAGGATTGGTGTTGCTGAGAGGCTGCCCTGTGTTACATTGAGATAAGTAGTGTTGCTGTTGCTGTACATATTTTGGTGTTATCATGTAATTACGTACCCCACGTTACACTGGTGTGTGATTGTGGCTGAGACGTATTACGGTGTGGTCGAACTGTAATTTCACTATACTGAATGTATAGTGCGTTACGATGTCTTATTACTCATAATGATTAAACTGCGTAAGCAAGAGAGCAAGTTGAACATCCGCTCTCACACTTTTATTATTTTTAACAATTAACGCTATCCTGATGTATTTCCAAGATCAAAATTGGAATCCCCTGTTGTAATTCTCCGACATCAGAAGGGGGATCTCCTGTTGTCATTTTCCGATATCAGAAGTGGGATAAAGTCCCTGTTACTGCCCACCTATAAACTTTGAATAGTGTGAGGGTTATTACGTTGGTGAAATACTATGATACGCCTCGCGTTTTGTTTTTGTGTTTAATTTCTTAAATCAAGTTTGTTGGCGTATTTACGACACTGACGAATCATCAAAGTGTAGAGTAAAAGTTTAAAGTGAAATGTTTTAAGCCAAAAGTTAAATCTTTTTGTTCAATTTATAATAAAAAGTACCCGCAAGTACTTTCATTATTTCTTAAGTCGAAAGAAATGTTGAAGGTATTCTAAATGAGTTATAGTTTGCATTCAGTGGAAGTTTAACTTGCTCAAGTTATGTTATAATTTGATACACGAGGTGTGATTTACATGGGCTAGTTTTAAAATTCAAAATGTTTAAACGATGTACCGAAAAAAGGAAAATGTTTACTTTAACGTGCTATGAATTAAAAACACCAAGTAGTATTTTTGTGTTCTAATGTGTTGATAAGTGTTACAGTTTACTGCGAGTATTACGTAGTCGATAAAATTGGGATTTGATGTTGAGGGCTTCGTGGAAGATGTGGTGCTGTGGCACTCGCTCTTGGGTGGAAATATGCTGTAGGATTATGACGCCGCGGACATTTTATTTGCCTGAGTAAAGTAAATTTATCCTAAACATTGTCTTAAAAAATATTTTGTAAGAATAAGTGTTTACATTTTTAATTGGTTGCGAAAAATGCCAGAAAAACAAAGTATAACAGACGAAATTGTAGTAGAGCAAATTAGTTCTGACATTGAAGTTAGTACTTAAGTTTACATGCGGATCGGACCGTACCAGAGGTTGTCGTGCAGCTGCAGCTCAGTATATGGTGCCCTAGAAAGTGCCCTGAGAGTACTGCTGCATTTTAAAAAAAAAGTTCCTACTAAATCTTTTTAATGTTTTCTTTTGTGTTTTACTGTAGCACGTGTGATGTGACTACATGTGCGCGAGTTTGAGGTGAGTGTGTGTACCTTGCTGGTCGGAACGGACTGCCGGGTCCAGCTATAACATGGCCTGGTTTCGTCAGGCGCGTATACGCAGCCGCCATCCCGGAGCGCGCGTATGCTGTACATGGCGATGCCTCTGAAGTCGTGTACTCTGTATGCGTGGAAGTCGTACACTGTGTGCGCGGAAGTCGTAGACTCTGTGTGCGTAGTAGTGTTTTCTAAACATGTATCAGGCTCTGTACTGGCAGGCGCTGTCCTGGTCCACGTTTTTAACGTGGTTCACGTGGTTAACGTGGGATCTCGCAAGTTCAAGATTATGTGTGAGATACTTCGTGTGGAGATGTATGCTGACTTGTGAAAGCGAAGTGCTTTCTTATAGTCCACGGTATGAAAGCGTATTTCTGTTTGAGGGACTCGTATGCGTGATGGATGAGAGGATAGGCAACTGTGTATGTTGTCCTGATAGTTAACAATTTGATTTTCACGCAGATCATGATGACTACAACCCCGACGATGCCTGTGAACCCTCAGGTGCTCCTGCCGCTCGCGTTGACGCTTCGAGTGCGTGATGCGTTTCGCTGGCGCTGGTGAGATGCGACTGCTCGCTGTGCGAGTGCGGCACGCCCTGTGCTGTTGTTTAGACAACGTAAGCTTGCTTCATGGCAGCTAAGTATGGCGTGTGCTGGTTTGTTTTAATAGCCACGTGCGCTCGCCTTACGCCTGCCACAGAGGCGAGCAGTGAGCGACGTGTTGATGTTTACTATGTGAGCAAACCCAGCGGTGTGCTGATGAATACTGGTGAGTCGTATCCATTTTATTATGATTCCGGGCCGGATGCCCTCTCATCAAAGATGGTGTTGTAGCAAAAGTGTAAATAATATTGTAAATTCAACCGAAATCGGTCATGTTAGTGTGCAAAGTACCCCACAAATACCCCCATGATCATGTGAGGAAGATCCCCGATCACCAAGTTCCTCGAGAGTTAGATGTCATAGTTGATGACAGTGGTAGTGAGACCAAATTTGATTAAAAATGCTTGTATACTCATACTCAAAACTTTAGACCGCACCTCATGAGTAACATGTGGCGATGGGTCTGTAGGGAATCGTTGGTGTGATTCTGGCATATGTGGCGGCAGATGTGTTGTAGCATATTTGGCGGTGGATATGTGGAGAATCGTTGGTGCGATTCTGGCATATGTAACGGCAGATATGTAAAGAATCGTTGGTGCGATTCTGGCCTGTGTTGGTGCACAGAGCCCCTTGTGTATTGTAGCATATATGACGGCAGATATGTGTAGAATCGTTGGTGCGATTCTGGCATATGTGACGGCGGATATGTAAAGAATCGTTGGTGCGATTCTGGTCTGTGTTGGTGCACAGATTTCAATGAAAGTTTCACGAGTTGAATATGCATTGCTTATGAATTGTAAAGAGTAAAAAATTGTTAAAATTACTGTGTTGGAACTTGTTGATCGGACCTTCCACGATAAATCATGTTGTGCAGGAAGCACTGTGTAAGAAGCCTTAATACAAGGCATTGTCAATTATGACAGTTGACTATTGTACTTAGACTTAGGAGAAGTAAAGTACCATTTGGAATCGACCTTGTTTCCATTGGCAGAATAGCCGAGATAGATTAATCACTGAGCATATTTTGTTTCCAGGCACTGCAACCGAGGACGGATGCTAGTCAGGAATGGCCGTGTCGTGAATTGATGGCGCCATAGTGAAACAAGCAGCGCCATCTAACAATTAGTTTTCAGAACTAATAATATGTACCCACTCATGTCAGGATGGACGAGCGGGACGAATTGTTGTTTGTTACAGGAATGCATAAAGATACACGCCCGAGGACGGTCGTACGTCAGGATGGCCGTGTCGGAGTGTCTATAAAATACCCGGTTGGATCGAGGTAGAATGGAGGGTATATCGAGAAACCCCCTCTTGTGTCTGTAGTATAAAGTTCACTGTAGGTGCCGTGCGCGGGAGAGTCCGCTTCAGTCATTCAACGGAGTGTGGTCATTCTACTTAGTGCTAAGATATTGTCGTGGTTCTGTTCATTGTGGTAATTCTTCTAGTACAGGCAAGGAGGATTGGTGTTGCTGAGAGGCTGCCCTGTGTTACATTGAGATAAGTAGTGTTGCTGTTGCTGTACATATTTTGGTGTTATCATGTAATTACGTACCCCACGTTACACTGGTGTGTGATTGTGGCTGAGACGTATTACGGTGTGGTCGAACTGTAATTTCACTATACTGAATGTATAGTGCGTTACGATGTCTTATTACTCATAATGATTAAACTGCGTAAGCAAGAGAGCAAGTTGAACATCTGCTCTCACACTTTTATTATTTTTAACAATTAACGCTATCCTGATGTATTTCCAAGATCAAAATTGGAATCCCCTGTTGTAATTCTCCGACATCAGAAGGGGGATCTCCTGTTGTCATTTCCGATATGTATATATTGGATTAAATAAAACTATTTTTACGGATTTTATCGCGTTTAATTAACTTATTTTATATTCCCGACGTTTCGGTTTCTTTCCAGCAACCGTGGTCACGGGGTACTGAGGTGATTGACGTCCCGATGTCAGTGTTAAACCGGAGTACCTTCAGCTTTTTTAATTAATATTTTTGGTCCGATCTACGCAGAACGAACTAACTGTGTCTTGAAGTCTTGCAGTGGTATGCTTGGGTTTAGTTTTAATTTTATGAATTACAGGATCCCAAGCAGGTGGTAGTACCCAGCCTCCTTCTCTATTGAAACTAGAATGTTTTTTAATTTCAATAGCCTCACGTATCATCCTTGGCAGTTTTACAAGCAAGTAGATGGTGTTGCGATGGGCTCACCAGTATCTCCCATTGTCGCCGATATTTTCATGAAGGACTTTGAGGAGAAAGCCCTGCTTACTGCACCAGTAACTCCAAGTTTCTACAAGCGGTACGTAGACGATACTTTCACAATTTTACCATCAGACAAAGTAACTGCATTTTTAGAACATCTTAATTCCATAAACTCTAAAATTCAATTTACTATGGAGTTAGAGGCAAATAATTCTTTAGCTTTCCTAGATGTATTAGTCATTCGAAATCCTAATAACACCACAGGTCACACTGTGTATAGAAAAAAGACCCATACAAACCGATATTTAAACGGTGAATCCCACCATCACCCTTCACAGTTAGCTACCGTGGGCAAATCTTTGTTACAGAGAGCACGAGGGATCTGTGACAGCAAACACCTGGCCGCCGAGCTTCAGCACGTCAAGCAGGTTCTGCACGACAACAAGCTTCGGGTTCCGCGCCTACGTCACAGTGATCGAGTGAAGCCGACAACAGTCGAGCGTGTGCCTGCTGTACTACCGTATGTCAGAGGTGT